AAAGAAAATACAACTCTCCCACCCCAAACTTGCCCCAGTCACTGAGCAGCATCCCCACCCACCTACCTTTGACTCTTCCTTCTCCCTCAATGCCACCATGTGACCCACAGGCAAATTCCTCACCATTATCCCCGCAGCCAGCAGTTTAACACAAGCCAAACCACTCATGGACTTCCCCGGGTGGATAGAATCACAAACACCAAATTCTTACCATATCCCACCCCAGGCCATTCTCCCTCATCCCTCAAGACCTGTAGACATTGTAGCTGGCTTTCCTCTTCTCCCACAGCCAAGGTCTTTTTCCTTTTAGGAACTTCATACATGGTTTTCCTTCTGCCTGGAATGTTCTCCCATCTCCTACCCGTTCCTTCTCTCATCCCTTTATCTGGCTAACTCTAATTGATCCTTGAACATCTCATTTTAAATATCAATTCCTCAGGCGATTGTCCCAGCCTGTAATCCCACCAACGTCTCAATGGAAATCTCGTGTCCCTGTCACACCATCACAGGACCTCTACTCCCACCAGAACCTGGCCCAGGTGGGGGCTATGATGGTTTTGCTGGGCCTCAGCATCCAGCACAGAACCTCCCAACACATAGCACAACAGCCAATAAGCGCTTCGAGGAACAGATGAGAGTACAGCCCAGGCCACAGAATCCATCGAGACATCCACAAGTACTGAATAACCAACAGAGGCTCTCAAAGTAGTTTTTCTTACTGACTATTGACTAGGTGCTCCTTCCCCTCAAACTCTTCAGACACAAAAAGCAAAAGTCTCACCATGTCCTCTGAACTTACTTGAAAATGCTCAACGCAGGCCAGCAGAGACCCTGTCCGCAGCTCTCCCATCCCGCTGTATTTCCTAAGTTTTCTGCCCTCTTCCAGCATTTAAGCAATAACAACAACAACGACGACGAAAAAGTGCACCACTGCAGTCTGGCAGGCCTTGCTCCTCGGGGTACAGATTGCTTTCTTATCCCATACCTCAAAGCTCATTACACAACAAAACACATAAAACCAGGAACAACTAGAAATTCACCCCAAGGTAAAATTCCACATCAACTTCAAAAAGAAGCCCCCAAGATAAAATGGCAGGAACTTTTGAAGGTTTTTGCCATCTTGTAAGATATCGACTACACAAAAATACCACCATTTTTGGTACAGAATCTTTTTTTGCTGGGTACAAAGGAAATTAAATGAAAGTCTTTGTATAGCAAAGATACTGGAGGTGGTGTGGGTGGGGAGGGTGGCTCCTAACCCCACAGCTTATGGACTGCTGGAGGCAAGTACACCAAGACTCAAGCACCACCACTTAGCACAACCAGACAACTTGGCCCTCACAGCAGGGGTTGGGGGGGATGGGACAGGACACAAAGAAATATAAACCTAAAACACCACAGAGAATGAAATAGGAGCTAGTTATGGGACTCAGAATATGGGCCTGGAGGGGAGAGGATCCTAGAACCTGAATTTCTCAGGGTTGTGGGGAGGGAAGTAGGAGGAGAGAGAAAGTAAAGGAAATGGAGGGAGAGATGGATTTGTTGTCTAAATTCTTATTTTTGTAGCTGGTTAAAAAAATAAAAAAAAAAAATTCAAGACATCATCCTGGAGGATAATTTCCTCTCTCTTCTGAACACAGACTAGGAACCGCTGCCTTCTAATAAAGAAGATGCCGTATCCGTTACAGTGACTAAAATTTGTGGGGCTCGTTTCTTAATTTAAATATTATTTGATCAATTAAACTCTATTTGTTAAAAATATTTATTCTACACATCTACTTTTTTATAATGTGGTAACCCATGTACCACATGAAAAAAAAAATCTAGGTTAAAATATTCTGACAAAGATCTTCAGTTTAAATCCCCATGTGAAAATTCTGCCCCATATGGGTACTAGAGAAAGTTATTTTCTTAGGAACTGATGGTAGTCATAGTCTCTAATGATTATTAACAAACACTGAACACTTCTCTAGTTTCAAAAGAAAACATTAGAAATAATTATGAAATAACTTGGCCCAGAAATTACAACAAGCTCAAATTTCGGAGAAACTAGGAAGCAATCTTTAGACAATTATTTTGAAACACGTCTGATGAAACAATGTGATGGGACAACGTTTTCTTTAAGAGAATGAAAAACAAAATGAGCAGAAGAGCCCAGGGTGTGGAGGAGAGTTAGCCATCTACCAGCAGAGCCGGACACAACCCAGGCTCTATGGGCCAAGGCTGAGCTATACACAGACCCAAATGATCCATCAGCCATCGTCCAGAATGGGCCCTTTATAAATACAGACATGCTGTGCCTGCCAAATTGATTTTAGCTGACGCATTGCCTTATGCCCAGTGAAAAGGGGATTATCTATTCGTAGTCCCAAGGTGTAGGACTCCTCTATTCCCAAAACTGTATGGGACCACTAGATGGGTGAGAGGTCAGCAAACACAGCCTTTCTTTCTCCAGCCTGACCTGCCCATCTCCCTCTACCAACCCCGCCCCCTCCAGTACCACCTCCTCACCCCTTAGTGTCAGGTGAAGACTGCAGAACTGCACAATTATGGGGCTAATCCGTGTCACGGAAGACACCATTCAGTTGCCACAGCAGTAAGTACTTCACAAATTTGGTTTCCTTTTAACCCAGTTGATGGCTCTGCCCCGCTCCCAGAGCCCGCCCTCCTCCACAGCCTAGAAACTCGACGCAATGGCCATTCCCCAGGCCCCCAGGAGCACAGCAGAAAGAAGTTGCAGTTGCCAGTTGTGGCTCCTTGGGACAAGGGTCTCCATCTGAAGTGTGGCTCGGAGTGGCGGCTGTGGAAAACACGCCTCCTAAGACAACAGAGGATGAAGGAACCTGAGTCCCCTTGAGCCGCCCTGGCCAAAATCCACACTGACTCTGGACAAAACGTCTTTCCATCTCCTCAGATTGTTCATTTCTAAACATGAAAATAAGTACTTAGGGTCTACACTGGGACAACAGGTCCTGTGGGCTATCTGGGGGGGCTCTCGAGGCGGATAAGCCTCACCCTCACCCTTGGGCGATGGTCACCAGAGCCATCCGCGACCTCCGTCCACCCCCACAGGGGGCTGTGTCCACTCTGAACCACTTCTAAGATTGGCACCTTCTCTCCACTCAAAAGAGAAAAAAAAGCCTCCAAGAGATTTTAAAGATAACATCCTTTCTCTGTAGCTTTTTAAAAAAAAAAAAAAAAAAAAAAAAAAAAGTGGCAGCCCTGCCAAGCATTTCCAAAAGCAGAGAAATAAATTTCAAAGCCTGGACACACAATGGGAAATGCAGGGAGGCAGGAAAAGTGAAAAAGACATGCTTCCTCGTTTTACCCTCCAGGACACGGTAACTCTCGCACTTTTTAAAAATCTTTGTATATGACTAAAATGGTTTTTATATGGCATTCACGTTTCTCCAAGAAACCTGCATCAGAAACCCAAACTGACAATATCCCGTCATCTGGGACGCTGCCCCTGATGATGACCCAATTTATAGTTCGCAGAACAGAACCAGTCACAGAGAAGTGACTTTCTACTCCCTTAGGAAAGAACAAGCTACGAGGCCCCGGGAGAGGAGCCGAGAACTGGGTCCCATCCTCGCTCTGGCCACTAACTCAGCGTGTGACGTTGGGCAATTCACTCAGGGCATCTCTGGGCCTGTTTCCTTTTCTGAGAGCAGGTGGGGGCGAGATGATCTAAGGTCACTTCCAGCCCTGAAATATTGACATTGGAGGAGTGTGTGTTATCATGAGCATCCGTGTTATTACAGGCTTGGGGGAAGGAGGAAGCTTCTGGGAAAATGTCAACCTTGCTCTGTGCCTCATTTATAACATAAGAATTTGTAGAACATTTTCACACACGATGACTCAAGATGTGGTTTAACGGAAATAAATCACTTTGTAATATATACACACACACGTATATTTAATATTCATATAACAGAGGCATAATTCATTAAATAATATATACTCAATTACACCAAGCTACAAAATAAGGAGGCAGTGAGCCTGAAATCTGACACAATGCGTCTTAAGATTTTTCTACTTAAGAAAATCATTTTGCCATTTTTAGAAATTAAAGTAACATCGAGGCAAAATGTATTAAACATTTTGTGGTACTTAAATAAAAAATACATGAATTATTTCATCCTTTGCATAATTCTACCTGTCATACATTCGTTATAAAAATGTGTCTCCCATTAATTATTTCAAAAGTATGAAGTCCAGCTCATGATATAAACATACGGAAGAGAATATTCTAATAATACTGAGCCATCTTCTCAAGAGGTTAATTTATAAATTCCACTTTCAGGGCCTACAAAATCCAAATGTACACTAAAAATATATGTAGACACATACTTTATGTTGTAGTCTCTCACTAGTAAAAACAAATGTTTCCTTTGTTAAACCCACAGGCTCTCAAAGTCATGGACGTACAAATTAAGTTTAACTTAAGCCTTTCCAAATTCATTTCTTCTCTCCGTTTACAATCAATCCAGATAAAATTTTGCTGATGTTAACGTAGAATGTTACTTTCCAACAATTAACATAAATTTGGGTGGGGGGGATTGGAAAGTCTCAAATCCAGCGCTTCCCTTTTGAATTTTCTAATTCCCTCTTCTGCAATTCACCTCCGCTAAATGAGTTTTTCAGAAAAGGATCTGAGGTGTTTTTTTTTTTTTTTTAATTGCTTTGGCACCATCTCCAGTCTCCCCCAAACCATGGTGATAGTGTCCCATTAACTGGAGACCACAAGGCTAGACTAACCCAACACCAGGAGAAAGGAGTGGTGGGAAGACCTGGAAAATTTCCGGGTGCGTAACAATCACTAAGATCCAATACCAGAAAACAAATAACTTCTAGATATAAGCCTTATCCAAGACTATTCCAAAAATATATTTTTTTAAAGAGAGAAAAATGGATAAACAACGCCCGTTATCAACAAAAGAATATTTTCTTCATCTCCCCCCAGTAAAGGAAGCAAGTGCCTTTATAAGGTCACTTACGACAATGTGTGCTGGTGACGGAGAGCGGGCATCCTTGAGGGCTTGTCTGCTCTGGAGGGTCCCCGCCTGGACATCAAGCAGTGGCCATTTCATCTGGAGATACTGGAGGAAGGAAACAAATGAATGTGGCAAATGAGTTTAGAAAAGAAACGCAAAACCGCTATCCCAAGACATAACTCCTGGGATGCCTGATACACAGATGAGTAACTTATAAGGACATGCAAATAACAACACTGAATAAACTTAAAAAAAAAAAAAGCATGCACATAACAACAGCATCAACAGAAAAGTCATGCCACACCAACAGGTTCTTCCTTAGATTAGAGCTCATGTTCAACAGGTGTGTTTCTAGAACATCAATACTATCAGCAACTAGAGTTTGGTCTTTGCAATCAAACGTCAGGCTGGCTCCAAGTTACAGGATTTCATTAGTCCTGCCTTGTGTAGAGGGAAACAATAGAGATTCGGGAGAGACAAGAAGGGAGGGAACAGAGGCCTTTCAAAGGAAGAAAGCAAACCAGAGTCTCGAGCCGGAGGTGTCTAGGAAACCGCCAATTCCAGATCTGTTCTTTGAGTGACCTTCACTTCTAAAATGCCATCATCCGATACTTCAAAGTTGAGTGTACATACATACACGTGCAACTGTCCTTTAGTAGAAACTTCCCCAGTAGATGAGGATGGAATTCCTCATCCAACCCCAAAGCTTATAAAACAAAACTACTTCTCAGGGCACCTGGGTGGCTTAGTCCATTAAGTGTCCAATGTTTGGTTTTGGCTCAGGTCATGATCTCAGGGTCTTGAGATCAAGCCCCACGCTAGGCTCCACACTCAGCAGGGAGCCTACTTGAGATCCTCTCTCTTCCCCTGCCCCTCCCCTGCTCGCTCATGCTCTCTCTCAAATAAATAAATCTTTGAAAAAAAAAATACGTCTCAGGAAAAGATGTACAAATAGGACATAGTGCAATTTATACATTCATCTCAAAAAGGCCTGAGAAAATTCTTAAATATGCACAAATTTACCACAGAAATTAAGTTAAAGGTATAAGCCAACGACGTCTATCACCGCTCTTCTCTGAGGTGGAAAATACATGGCACAAAGAAAAGGAAGTTACTTCTGTCACAAGTGATACGTCAGCTTTCAGAAGGACTTGAACAATCAACTAACCCAACTCCCTACTGTATAAACAAGGAAAAGTGAGGTGAGGTGGCTTGCCCAGTCACAGAGATACTTAGCACACGTATAAGCAACACCAAGGCATTTCACTTTGTGGGTGACATCACACCAATTTTACTCAGGAAAACTTCAGAAAACTGAACAAAACTGAGGACACAATGCTTAGACTTTAACAAGGACATCACCAGCCTTTGTATGTCTGAAGGCCCACTGTGTAAGGCACCAGTTAATGCTTGGATGGAATATAAGAGGCCATCTTTTCAGAGGTCCCAAAGCAAATTAAATGGCTAGTTTTCATATAAATTATACAGGGAATTCTACTCAATGAATATTAATTAAACTCTTTGTACATAGCCTTCTTGTGAAGGATTAAGAAAGATGTCTGCCCTCAGGGAGCTTATGCCCATGTGAGGGAACCAACTCACACTCCGATTCAATCTAGATAGAATGTAGTAGAAATGGCAGACTCGGAATCGTGCCTCGGGAATGCCAAGAAAGAAGATGGGATTTCTGAGAAAAGATACTGGGAAGGCTGCACCAAGTAGGTCTTGTTAAGTCAGAAAGATTTCAACAGAAAGACAAAGGACAGCCAAGGGCAGTCCAGAAAGAAGGAAGGGTTGGCTCAAATCCCATGTGAAATAGAAGGGCAAAAGCCACACACAAGCTTCCTCAGAGCTTCCTTAAAGATACAACTGCCCAGCGAATTAAAACCAAACATAGTTACACCTAAAACTAGAAGACCCTGGCCCACGAGCTACCTACCATGGTGCACAGCCATTTTCCCAACCTAGATCTGTACAAGGTAAGAGCACTACTACAACCTCAGAGCTGTTACCCAGAAGGCTCTTGTGTGGAGGAACCTGGTTACTGGTTCTGGTGACTCACCACATGACCCTGCATCAAATCCCTCTGCTTCCATGGACCTCTAGTTTTTCATCAGTCAGCTGATGGGGATGTCCTATCTGGGATGGGGATGAGGTCAGGGCTGCCCCAGCACTTAGGGATTCTGGACTCTCAGACAGTAAATACGAGCAGGCACCCCACTCCCCCCCTCAGTCACCCTTATAAACAAGTTATTTCCAAGTATCTTCTTTGGGAACAGTAGCATCCCAAGTTGAGAGCCACTCAATAAACGTAATAAATGTTTCCGTGGTCTCCTCAGCCTGTAACCCAAACCAGTGGGCCATAGGAACCTATTCCGCCCCACCTCGCCCTGACTGCTTCCCATTCTCACCTCCCACATAAATATATGAGCCTCATTGGTCAGAACCACTCAATAGCATCATTTCCTTGAGGCCAACCAAAATGGACACCTGCCAATAATCATCTCTCCTCTCATAAAATCCTGTGAGGAAAAACACCCAGCTGAGTGCCACACACCGACGCCTCATGCTACCCTCAGTGGGCAGGGTTAGATGAACAGGCAGGTTCCCATCTTTGGCCATCTGCAAAACAGATTTGATCGCATCCAAATCCCTGCTCCATAGAATTCGGAAATTTAGGCTTTGTTTAAGGTGACAGACCTGCCCTGAGGACCCCACCAGAGAACTGTCACACCCATAATGCAATATTAACACGGAGTCTTATAATTCTTATTTTACATAAAAGCTTCATTGTGTGCCATATCCAATCTCCGCAGGCTACCTGCACCACTATTTTTATGAGCCTACATTTCAGCGCTCCGAGCCTACAATACACATAATTTTCAATTATGTTAGGGCAGCCCAGGATCACTGCCTATATAACATTACTGGTTGGAGGAAATGAGACTCGGCCCCACTGCCCAGAGAGAGCTAACCAAATCCAGATGGTGGAGGAAGACAGCCCCAGTCCTGCTGGCTTGCAAGGACCCCACGGTGACAGCCTCAACCTCTCTCTCCCAGTGCAACTTGATCCCACAGAAAGGCTGGGCCCCCGCAAATCTGTGCCCGTCCCTTGGAAATAACTGGCATTCAGGCTGACGAGGTTCCTTCTGGGGAAATAAGTATTATGTCAGAATTTTTTTAAAGGAAGTTATTAACCTCCGCCAAAAGTGATGGGTTTCCCAGGTTCCTTCATCTTCTACAATTGGTCCTTATTAATAAGGAAAATAAATAAATAAAGGGAAGAAAAAGGAAATTAGGTACGATTAGAGCCTAGAGGAAAACCTTTTCCTTCCTGGAGACACTAAGCAGCGGGAAATTCTATTCTGTTGGGTCCTAAAGGAAGACCCGAAGGAGGGGGCATCTCAGATTTACGAAAAGGGCTGGAACGCCACGCCACATTTTCCCCCTGGTCCAACTTCAGTTTTATATCCTTTTGGGGAAGGGAAAAAAAAAGTTCCCACCATCCCACTATAAAAACAACACTGCGCTCCAGCTCCCTTCCTTTCAGGCCGCTCAACGTGGAAATTATGAATTGCCTACAAAAACATTAAACTTTTCAGCAAACTGCAATCAAACGGGGCCGTGGGAATTCCTGCATTAAAACTGTTGAAATGGAGTCCTGCTCAACTTGCATTTTGCAAAAAAAATAATAATAAATATATAAGGCCATCTTGGCTTAAGTGTTTCATCCTTTGTTTAATACTAATGTTCTGCTCATGGCCCATTAAGGTTTTTCCCCAAATCATATTTTATGATATGTCTCAGGGAGCTTAAGTTAAGCTTCAGACCTGTGGACGAAGTCTCGAAATATATACAAAACCCACAGTCTGAGCGGAATCAAGGCTCTTTAAAACGCCTGTTAAATTGTCAGCAAAAAAAGAAAAAAAGGCATGCAACTCAAACTTCTCCTCCCCCCCTCTCCTCCAATAAAAAAATTAAAAGGACAAGGAAAGGCAAAGGGGGAGGGATCTTCTGAATCAGAGGATCCCCCCCCCCCAGGATCTAGGTACAAGTGGGCCTGAGGGAACCTGCTGCCCCCCCATTACCGTGGGTCCAGCTTCATTCAGTCCGAGGAGGGGCGGCTCTAAGATCCTCCATCTATCTGAGAGCGGCTGGGGCCTCCGTACAAAAGTTAGTCTCCTAAACAAATAGGGCAACTCAAAGGCCAAAAATGATGTTGATAAGAAGGTTCCCAGGAAACCCCACATGGCTGATAAAATACCAAAGCAGCTTTGTAGCACTTCCTGTCAGTCAGTCCGTCTCACAGACAGACAGGCAAGCAGAGTCCGTCCCCTTACTTGTTCAGGACGGGGTTGGCAAACTTTTTCTGTCAAGGGCCAGAAGACATACATATCTTTGACTCTGCAGACCATCTGGTTTTGGTCCTAACAGCTCAGCCGCGGCAACACAGAAGCAGTCGTGGGCAATACCTGTTCCTACTATGTCATGGCCATGTTCCAATAAAACTTTATTTATACATACTGATAAGTAGATTCCATAGGACTTTCCTGTCACGAAATAGTACTCTTCTCTTGTTTTTTTTTTTCAACCGTTTAAAAATAATAAAAACCATTTTTAGCTCAAAGGCCATACAAAAAGAGGTAGCAGGACAGCTTTGGCCCTGGGCCACAGTTTGCCACCCATGGCTTATGGAATGAATGTATGAAGACCTGATTTCGTGTCAGACAGGATACATTCCTTCACTGGGCCTAAAATCCAGACAGCCAAACGCGATTTTTCAGTGGCCCGAAAGCGACATTTTGGATTGAATCGTCACTGGCAGACTCCAGTTTGGGGAGAAGACCTTGCAAAAGAATCTGAGCTCTCCAGCCATGACTCCCAGTCACAAGGTCTAACCACTAGACCACAATCTCTCTGAAATAACTATCCCTCCTTTCCAAAATGGAACTTTGAAAAGCCCTGAGCAATTGTGACTGGAAAAGGTTCACATGTTCGAAAGTTCTCACCCACTTCCCAGGAAAGACTGGCAATGTGTCACACGTCATCGAATCATCTGGAAAGAGCACTGGGCAGAAATGCCGCAGGTCATGGGCAATGTGCCC